GGGGTGCGCTCGTGACGGGGAGAAAGATCGATAGGTGATCAGTCTATCGATCGGCAGCCGCAAGTCAGATCACTTCAGAGACACTCTGCAGCGTGCTCAAAGCTCTTCCACTTGGGCGGAAGTCGCGCGGAATTTTAAACGGCCAGCGAGCCAATTACTAGCCGCCACGTGTGAATAATTTAGCACTGGCCAAAAACGGGGCACAAATTTGCATCCGAATAGCGGGAACTCTTTGCACCGTGCATCTCTGTGCTGCAAAGAAGAAATGCATCCTGCAAAGGAAACTGCAAATTGGCGGGAACTCTCCTGCACGCAGGCTCTTAATTGCAGCAGAACACTCTGCTGTGCAAAGGAGCTCTCATGTGGCCAGGAAATTCCATAGTGCCGAGGCACAAAAAATCACTGGGTCGTGACACAGAGCTGCAGTCATAAGGTCAGTGTTTCTGTTAAGTCTCTGGGACATAGTAAAGTGTCTGCCATTCTTACATTGCTTTTGGGTCAGTCCATAGCCTACAAGCCTCTCCCCTCTGGCTTCCAGTATAGTTCATAGCAGGGCAAAATGGAACAGCCTTTGCAGAAAAGGGGCAGAACAGCTGGCATATGGGTCCAAATCACTTCCTCCAGAGCCAGTGGGAAACCAGGAACCAATTGCAGTTCCCAGGATGTTCCCAGGTCAGTACAATTATGAAAGTTTCATCAAAGCTGAGGTCTGTTGTGTTGTCTATATGCATGTGGTGCTTGGTTTTTCAGTTACTGGTTGATTAATTTCCTTCATCTGCATCTGCTTTAAAACAGGGTAAGATAATTCTACTCTTTTGGGGAAAGTCAGTGGTTCTATTGGGGGGGCGGCCACCTATCTGACTATCACAACAGCATATTCTACTATTGGGAAACACTGTCCTCCAGCAGCCAGGGCAGTGTGCAGCCTTCAGGGAGATAAAGTGAAAAGAATCCCAGGGACATCATCTAAATTAGCGATTCATTCAGTGTAATCTGGATAACTATAGTGCTAGTATTGGTTGTAGTTGGATCACCCTAAGCAAAAGGATGAGCACTTTATTCCAGAGCAATTCTGGTCTCTTCAGCAGCTCTTTCCACAAGGATGGTGGTTCACCAAATGTATATATAACCTGCTGCAACGATGCTTGACATGTTCACAACTTCATTTTATAACAGTGATGCATAAGCTCAAAACGCTGAGGCAATTTCCACCTTTTGATTTTGTTCTATCAAACCTGAAAAAATACCGTATGCATGATGCCACTTGTCTTTTGTAGAACATTACTATAGCTGGGTTGTCTGCCACTTTTTGGTCCAGAGGGCCTGAGGCAAGCTAGCATGGCTTAATTTTTCAGGTCCACCTGGGCAGGGAGTCAGATGAGTTCTAAGGTTTGAGAGAGCTCAGGTGGAGGAAGACTTCATGGAACATAAGGGTGGTTGATCTGGGAGCAAAGAAAAGACATGCAAGAGGGAGGCCTCTGGGCTCTAACAGTCTGATCTCGTTAGAGGAATAATGTTGTTTATGTGACTCAGTATTTAAGGAATTAAACTGTGCTCTGAAGAGACTTATGGGTGTAGTATTAGGTCTTTCTGGGCTGGGATATAGGCCAAGTCCTCAATCCTGAAAACAGAAGTGATTTGGAAAACACATATCTAGAGAAATGTGTGAATAGAGTGATAAGCTTACGTCCTAGGTAGCTAACCACACTCTGTCACCACGTTAATTATATAGTCTAATTTATGTAACACTTGCTTCTTTCATCTTCTGTTAGGGAGTGAAGGTGTTTGTGATAAGATTCATTTGCAGAGATCTCCTCTTGGTAAATGGCTGTTATGTTAGGGTGGTTCTGTATGCTTTGTTAGTTCTGCAAGCCTGAGGTTGATCTGTTCCTGTTTGCTGTATAAAACACTGATAAGGTGGTTCCTCAGTTCTCAGAGAGAATGAAATACAGTTTGTCAAACTAGGCTGTGTGGTATGTAGAACAGAATTGATTGGTCATCTGGAGTCCTTTGTGTATGATAGCCATCTGTTTGCATCTGGTTAGAAAAGGAGGTATCTGAGCATACTTGAAATAGCTGGTAGTCCATTTCATTCAGCTGAGTGTGGTACCATCCACGAGCAGTGCTGGGAGTGCATAGTTGTTTATACATACTAGCAATGTATATACAAAAAACCCGGGATCCAGAAACTGGGGCTCAAAATGGGTGTATAATATAGGAAAAGCTTTTACAGTGCTTCCATAACATTCACAATATGCAAACTGCTGTTTCATGTGATAAAACTGATGGGTCTGCTCATTCTTCTTCCTTTGCTTGAACAGATAATAACAAACTAATTTCGCTATGATTGTAGTGTTAGGAATTTTAATGGAAACTTTAAAGATGGTGGAGAGGAAGAGATGCTTGTAACTGGAAAGCCACTGGCCTGATGCCTAGGTAAATGAGGGATTTCTCTAGAGTTGCAACTTGACTCCTACCTACTTACTTACCTGGAATTGCTTTTTCAAAATAAAAAAAATCTGAATTTTACAACAAACTGACAATTGTGCACTTAACTAACTTATTTTGTACCTAAAATACATGGGAAAATATGGTCCCTAATACAGTTTAGAATCTTTTTTCTTCCCAAGTTATGTAGATCTCTTTAACAACACCAAATTTAGCTGCTTAATCCTTTAATGTAGTTCTGGGGATGTGAACTGTATGTGCTTCCAAATCAGGGGCAATTTACCTCCACTATCTCTTGAAAACCACTCTGGAAAAATCCAGTTACTTAAATTGTCATCTTGTAGGGCGTATCCCCTTATCTCAAGCCAGAAGAATTTCTATCCATACTTTGCCAACTATGCCTTGATGTTCTATTTGGATTTCAGTGGCATACTCAAATATTGTGGCAAGAATAATGTTGGAATGCTAAATGAGATAACCTCAAACCCAGCCTTTTCAGATGGCTCCAACATAAATGTAAGATAAGACAAATCAAGAAAAACAAATGGGAAGGTGTTTAAAAGGAAGTATTTATTTTTCTGCAGTGAACACAAATTGGCAAATGAAAATGGTATAACTTAACAAACACATTCTTCAAGTGTATCTGAGAGCACAGTGAAAAAATAGGGGCAGGAGGGACTTGGAATACAACTTGCCATCTACGATTAATGGAAAAGAAAGGGAGGAAGGAACTCTGATTTCCAAACTCTGATGGAAGAAAACTTAAGTTTGGACAGGTACAAAGTGTTACAGAGTATCTTCTTGAATACTCCAGAAAAAAAAATTGCAAGAACTTGACCCTGAATTATATGAGGAATATATGAAGAAAAGTTTGTGAAATAATGTAATGCACATGAAAGCTTGCTTGATTTATGATATTTCCATAATATTGTCACAGAAGAAACACAGGGTGGCACTAATTATATAGCCTAATTATGCAGAATTGAGGCTCACAGCCCTCTTGAGGCAAATAATTTGAACTGCAAGGAAGTGACTTTGAAGGGGAGACTGCAGCGTGTCTATAGCTTAGAACAGTGATTTGCAACTAGGATCCTGGGGCACGCTGGGGTGTTGCCAAATCCTTTGAAGCGTGCTACAAAGTGTGAGGAGATAAACTAAGCTGATAAACCCAGTTTAGGTTTGTACCTGCCTGGGCAATCCCCCAGCCCCCCATTTAAGAAGGTAAGCACTATATATATTTTCTATTTTCTATTCTATATTTATATTTTATTCTTCTTCTAAATCAGCGGTTCTCAACTTTTTTGGATTCAAGGCACCCCCCACCAGACTTGAGGCACCACTTTGTAAACTTTTGTGAACTGCATGGCACCCAATTTCAAAAACTTATTTGATATATATTTATATACTAGCCAATTGCCCATGAAGAATGCAGGTGGGGACGGAGCCCCGGACCTCCCTGCCACACCATCCATGCCCACTCCCCCTTCCCTCCTGCTGCTTGGGGTCCAGGCCCGCTTCCCCTGGCCTCGCCCCCTCTTCTATCCACTCTGTTGCTGCCGCCTCCAGGGAGTGGGGCAGGGGGGAGAGAGGCACAGCTGGCCTCACCCCCCCACCCCCGCTCTGTCCCCTGTGTCCCCACCATCATGGCGGGGGGCTGCCTTCTGGCGGAACGCTTCTTCACACTCTGATCGGCAGTTTGTCAGCCAATCAGAGTGCGAATAAAGCATTACAGACAGACAGCCTTAGGCTTTTATAATATTAGAATATTGGGTGCCACGCAGTTCACAAAAGTTTACGAAGTGGTGCTTCAAGTCCAGTGAGGGGTGCCTTGAATCCAAAAAAGTTGAGAACCACTGATTTAGAAGAAGAATAAAAGGACACAAGGTGTGTAGGTATATGCAGTTTTGCTAAAGAAATGGAAGGGCCACAATAAAATGTGTACTGAAAAAACCCTATTCACTATCTGTAACTGGATATTATGAAAATCCTGTGTTCTTACATTAAGGAACAATAATAGGAAATGCCAGTCCCTTTCCCCCAGCTCTACTCCCTTTGTCTACATGAGAATGGGAGATAGTGGGAGCGGAAGCAGGTGAAAGCCTCTCCTTCACTAAAAGGGCTGCTTCTTAAAGCATTTCATCTGCTTGCCATTACGTTAGAAGTTACAAGACTGCTGTTACTTTGGTGTCTGTCTACCCGCTGCTGGAGTGCTGAGTGTAAAGCAGGGAAACCTGAAAGGAGGGTGCTTTAACTTGAGGATACTTAAGATGCAAAGAACAGGGTATATTAGGCCTCCTTTTAATTCTGAGCTGTATTTGCAGTATCCTTTCCCTAACAGGCAGGGCCACTCTCTGTATTTGAATGTGCATTTCCCTGAATTGCCTTTGAAAAAAAGATATCGCACCCTTTTAGACAACAATTCACCCAATTCTAATCATGGTGGATTACGAGTTTCTGGATTTTTAATTATGTTGGTGACCCAGAACCGTCTCAATAATTTAGGCTTACAGAATTTGAGTGAGAGGACGGGTGGACATTCCAGGTAGTGGGGAGCAGAAGAAAACATTTTGAAATTTTCTTCTAAAAGTGGTGGCTATTTGTAGCTGCTCAGTGGTAGACATGATTAGAGGAGACCGATTAGACAGTTGAACACTGTGAGATTAGACAGTGGAGACTGTGAGCTGGCCAAAGGTACATGTTAAGTTTTTGCATTTCCATAGTTTATTTTTGCATTTCCATAGTTTCTATTTCTTTCACCAGTGGGATGTAGCTATTTCTACATCAGGTTGCCCATCAGCCAGATTTTAAAGAAAGAATCCTAAAGAACATTTACTCCAGTGAAATGATGGCCAACTTCTGTGGGGGTCAGGTACCATCATGAGTCACCTGCAAGAGACAAAAAATAGCTTTCATGTGTATGGAAATAGCCAGTAGCCTGAGCTTCTTGTAACTATTAAGGGATAGTTCAGAGTGCATAGGAGCATTGGACCCTTAACTGCAAAGAGGGGAAAGGAGGGATAGTTCAGCGTGCATAGGAGCACTGGATCCTTAACTGCAAAGAGGGGAAAGGGCTTTTAAAAATCTCTGGCCAAATCCCTATGGGCGAAAACCTGGGAGGTAGTGAGCCCTACCACTTGTATCAGCAGTTGTGGGAGCTGAAAATGCTCTGCATTACATAGGGCTTAGCTCTGTCTGTGACAGTGGCTTCTAAGCCATGGTTTGCAAGCACTACTAAGCTTCTAAGCCATGGTTTGCAAATAACGTGTTGCCTCCAAATCCTTCAACATTATCCACAACCACAAGGAAGTACTACCTTAAAAGACAAGTTAGCTGAGAGAACAAGGCATGGTTTTATCTGCAGTGCATCACTTGCTAACTGTTGTTGTCCATGGGCCATCAAACGTTGGGGACCTCTGGTCTATAGTTTGCTGCAAGTTGTCTTTGAAGTGAAAGGGTGGTGCATGATCAGACTGATATACTCTTTAGCCATCTGTGGCAGTTTTGAGGCACAGGGGCAGCCATGATACCCCCTAGTGTCTGTGTGGCTCCTGCCTGGCTCCATCTCTGAGGCAGCCCTCCCTTGATTGCTTATCTGCCATGTCTTGTTATTACTGAGCCTGAGTCCAATCAACTCACCAACTAGTCCCCCCCAGATCCCACTAGTCTCGATCCACCCCTTACACTACATAGGCCCTCTTGGCCTGCCTGTGCCTCTGCAGGGTCCTATAGCCTTACGGAGAAATTGCATGGCTCCGTTCCTCCCCTACACTATGCACCAAGCCTCACTGGTGTTAGTACTTCCAATGATCTTCAGTCATCCTTCTCCTTAACCCCTCTCAGGACTCTCGCCGCCCCCCTTCCCCCACATCAGGCTCAGGCTTGCACCTCAAATACTGGTATCAACATAAAACAAAGGCCACTTGCCTGCATAAAACCCTTTCTTCTTTGTCTGGGGTAATAGTCTCTTGTTTCTAGCCTGCAGGGTTGCTCTGTTTCCCCTGCCTACCTTGGTCTTTCAGGAGCCCTTCTGCCCTGCTGCAGAGAATTCACTTCTCGGGCTTTCAGGGCTAGACTACCTGACCAGCCCAAGCACTGATCTTATCTTGCCCCAGCCTGGTCCTCTTTTGTCAGGTAAGCCTCCAAATCAGCCCCCATGTCACCTGGAAGCTGCTAAGGCAGCTTCTCCCCTTGAAGTAGCAGGTGCACCACAATGCCCTGCTACACCATCCTTTTCTTCGAAGTTTGGGGATGCAGCTTCCTCCACTTTGCACTTCTGTTTACAAAGAGAACATAGCATATGAGAAGTGGCACAGAAACAAAGATTTTGTTCTACTGAGATCCACTTGCTATGACAACCCCACACTACAAAAACTTCATCTCTGGGGCCAGATTCTACCCGTGGTGTTTGTTGCCTGTTAACCTCAACATGTTAATCCACTGATCTCACAACCAGCTCTGTGCCTTGATACCCATTTCCTCAGCTGATATGGGAAGGCACCGCCCTCTCTGCACTCAGATCCCGATTGAAGTTCCCCACAAGGTCCTATTAAGATATTCATAAGGAACTAACTGGCTAACAGTGTCCAGGCTGAGGGATAACTGGGTTGCCTATATCTTAATTTAAAACCTAGTCCCCAGAGGAGATTTATTTACAACCATAAAGTGCCCCTGCAGAATGTGCTGCCATTGACAGTATCTGGTAAGGAGAAGATGAAATAGAATGGAGTATGTAGGACAGAGGTGTACTGGGAAAGAGCCGGTTGGTTACCTTTGCTATGGGCCTGAGGGGTCTACAAACCCAGGGGCAGCCTGGGGAGAAGTCCATTGGTTCCTACACTTGGAAAAAGAAAAGCAAATTACAGGCATGTGCTTATGACAATGACTCAACTTTATTCCTGGAATAACTTCTTTTTGCTTTTTAATAAATATTTTACTTAGTGACCAGTCTGGTTTACAAACCTTTGATTGGTAAATATTTCTACAGCATCGTAGGGATACAAAACATGATGTCAACTACAACACAGTCTCCTTTCTATTACTTGGGTGCTGAGGTAGTACTGAGTGGATAGCCCTGAAGGTGATGAGCATGCACAATCCAGGCTGGGGAAACAATCTAGCAGCCTATAGCAATGTTAACACAGGTGTGATTTACAGTAGAATGTCTTAGGAAGCAAACAGAACAAATCAGAGAGAGTTGAGGGAGTGGAGCTCTATTGTGCATCAGCTAGCTGCTTTGTGGTAGCTGCTCAAGTTCACACTTTCTCCATGGCAAATGAAAACTAATCTTCAGTAGTCCAGCCTTCTTTCCTTGTGAGCCATTTACCATGGGGCATAAATGAGCATAGAGCCAATTCATGTAGAAGACCTGATGTGTGGTCCTTTCCTTTTATCTTAATCAATGTGTGTTTGTCTATACCCAGGGGCATATTTGGGGCGGGGAGGAGGGGGGGATTGTAGTGGTACAGTTGCACTACCACCCCCCACCCCCCACCCCCTTTGACTCCTGGTCCATCCAAAGTTTAAAACCAACTACCTGGCAGTAGCAGCAGTATTTCTATTCAGGCATCAGTGAACGAGTTACTTGATTTCATGGCTTATGATAATCTACCTGATTCCTTCTAAAATGTTCATTCTACAGGTGTTAACAACAACCCTCTCTCCTTTTTTTATGGCCTTCAGTGGTTCCACTAATTGAACCATTCTTTGTTCTGCAATTCTGCTATCTATTAGCTGCTCCTGGTAATATGGCTTCTTTTTCACAGCCCTATAGACTGTTTTTCACTCTGGCTAGAAGCATTAACTCAGGTATGAAAATGTTAACTCAGGTGAACATTAACTCAGATGTGGGAATAATTTTCAGTGAGGCACTGGATGCACTGTCAAGATGTTCAAGAAGCTAGATTTTGTTTCTGAATCTTAAAAAGAGATATAGATTTAATTTTAATGCCTATAGGACTAATGAAACAACATCTTTCAATTATTTTGCCTAGTTCGTTGTGTTTTTATATGTAATATATGGTATATCAAATTACTGCACATTCCAGTTTTTTTTTCCTTTGCTTTGATCTTAAACTGAATAATGTAGCCCTAGGCCCCTACCTTATTAGTAAAGCTTCTAGTTTCTTTTTAACTGGGGACAAAACATGTATTGTGTTATATGTGATGATGCACCACACCATCTGATCCCCTCCTTTTTTCATAATACTAGATCTGCCCATGTCCATACCTTGCACTCTCTTCACTTTCACTGGTTTCTCTTGGATTCTTATGGAGTCCCATGAACCAGGAGAAAAACATACTTGCTACTTTTCACAAAAAACAATTGCTAACTGGAGCCAACTTGGCAATTCTCAGCCAAGCAGAAAAGGGTGGCGTTGCATCACTATCTCCAGTGTTGTCTGCAGCATTTGTCTGATACTGCCATGGATCAGTGATGACTGAATACTTAGCCAGACTGGTTCATACAACACCTCAAATCACCACAAAATTCTGGCTATCACTTAAACCCTGTTTGCGAAGCACAAGAATTAGAGTAAAGAAAATAACCTGGGCAGAGACCAAAAGTAAGAATGAGCACAGGGCTTCTATTTTTCAACTCAGTCATATGTAAGCCCAGTGAGCCACCCCACATCTGCTAGACAAGGGGGACTAGAACAGCTACTAGCCTGGCAGCTCTGTTACTTACGTTTGTAATGCTGGGAACGTACTAGCCGGAGCAGTCATATGATGCACAGTAGGTGGGAATCCTCCAGTCTGTCCCCAGAGATTGGATGGCATCCCAGGGGGCCAAACAGAGTAGCCAGCAGGTGGCAGCTGTGCAGGAATGGAGTGTATTGCTTGTGGAGAGTAGTGGTGATGGTGATGTACTGTTGAGGGCCTTGGCCTTTCAGCTCTCACAACAATTGGGGCAGCAAACTGTGGATCCTCAATTTAGAGACAAAAATAATGGTTCTGTTAAATTTGTGCTCCTTAGAGGAGGAGAGAACATGAGGGCCTGTTCCGGACTGACTGAGTGCTAGCATGGAGTGCTCTTTCGGGACACTTCCCTGTCCTGGGCTCGAGGTCCGGGTGACTATGATATTATAATTCTAGCGAACCACTGGTGACTCTACATCCCATTCCGATATTCAGAGGCATGCAGTACCCATTGCCAACAATCTATTTCACCTCCCCAGCCCAGAAAAATTTAGGGAGGGGGAAGGGCAAGGACAAATCAGCATTGCAGGAGAACTTAAAGAGCAAGGGATCTGGTGTGTTTGTTCTTTTAGGTGCAAGATCCTGAGAAGTTTGGAGATGTTGTCACTATTTCATTTTATTTAGCTGCAAATGAGTCTGTTTCCCTTCTCATAGCCATGATTTCCCTCCTGTAGCTTTCTAAGAGCTAGAAATTAGCAGGGTGAAGACACAAATATGCAGTGACTGAAATCCAAGGTTATAGGCACCAGTCTGAGGAGGATACAGTGAAGGTCAAATAGTATGTGCAGAGTCAGAATGTCTCTCTCCTGCAGTGCTGGGTACTCTTAACACCTTGCTCCCCTATCTAACTGTGCTGCAGCATACTCTGAATGCTTTGGTTTTTTTCTTCTACTCTGAGCACAGGTTTTACTATAAGGGAGAGAACTGCCTCTCCCATGTCCTGAGTAAAGCTGGACACAGCTCTGAACTACAGGACAAACAGCATCCTGAAACATCTCCACAACAAATCTGACCTAGAACAGTTGTAGTGTAAAAGATTAATGACCTCTCAAGAGTGATATGCTTCCCAGTTGGCAGTGACTGATGTTGGCTTCCTTAGAGCTTTCAGTGCCCTGAAATATGAAAGCCAACAGCTGTTCTTGAACACTTTTATTATGCCTGTGGACATGTGGGCTGAACAGGTGGAGAAAGTAACAGATCCCTCAGGGCAAGGTGATCAGGTATGCAGTACTATTGTGTTTCTTTTGAAATCAATGAATATGAGTTTCTTTCATCCTTTATTATGCCTGCCTCTAAGGAAGATATTACCAAATGAGTGTTTCAAACACAGGTGTCCATGAAAGATCCTCCAGTACTCAGCAGCTCTCTCAGAACGCTGGTGTGTGTCACAACCCAAAGGGTGTGATTTTTGTTTTGTGTGCTTCGGCACTGCTAAATTGTTCCTGCTAAATTACAGCTTCTTTGCACGGTGGAGTTTTCTGCTGCAAAAGAGAACCCCGGTGCAAGGGAGAATTTCCCGCCAATTTGAAGCTTTCTTTGCAGGGTGCATTTCTTTGTTGCAGCACAGAAATGCTCGTTGCAAAGAGTTCCTGCCATTTGTATGCTAATTCGAGCCCCATTATAGGCCAGTTCTAAATTATTCACACGTGGCGGCTAGTGATTGGCTTGCTAGCCGTATAAAAGGCTTGAGTGGTTTCCGCCCAAGTTGGAGGACTCCACGAACACCGGGAGGAGGAGACTTCACGCTGCGTGAAGATCTCTAAGCGCTGAGGATCCTTACGGACCCAACGCATTTCAAGCAGGCACCAGAGGTCTGATCAGCCTCTAGCCTCTCCCCGTCGCCGATAGATTCCTAGACGTATCCCTCCCTGCGCGCAAAAGAACC